ATTTGGAGAGACCACTTTTCACACGTGGCTGGTGGCTGCCTCACTGGACGAGCAAGGCAGCTCTAAAGACCGTCCGCAGCCTCAGTCTTTGTTCTGATGCCACCTCCCCCCTTCTTACGTGTGACGTGAACACAACAGCGTAGAAAGAATGTTTATCTGTTGTTTTAAATGGGATGGACTCATTTATAGGGAAGGCAGCAGGCCAGGACGCTGATCCAAACTTGTGGCGTGAGGTCACAGGGCTGAGATTCTATTACCTGCCTGTCTGGGGCCTTGGTCGACAGCCTTGCTTCCTGCGAAAGGTCTGGGCTTGTGGAATGCAGTGATCACCAAGTCACCAGGAACCAACAGAGCTGCTTAAATGTCTGCAGCATCTAATGCTGAGAAACATCAGTGTAACCTCACTGAGTGGGAGAAGCGTGCGCAGGTCATGGGTGGTAGTAGCAGGGAGACTGAGCTGGGGCTTGACTTCTGTTCTTGGGGCCTTTACTTGTGTGGTGCAGAGAAAGCAATGACTGTCAAGGTCAGAGGACAGTAGGAGTACAAAGTGTTTGAAGCTCTTGGCAGCGAAGTACTGGTGGGGAAATCTATGAAGTGTTAGTTAGAGAAAGCCAGAAGCACATTGGCTTGACGCCTTTGGCTGTATGAAGAACTGTTCTGCAGAAGAGATGCAGACTGGCTTTAGCTGCTCTGATGGTCAGCCCAAGGTCAGCAGGCAGGAGGATTTGAGTCAAAGGTCAGATTGGAGTGCAAAGTCAAAGTAAGATTCTACTAAGAGAGCAGTGGAGTGACAGAAGGCCCGGTTATAGTAGGTGAAGGGGCCAGGCCAGCCCGTTCCCCAGGGGTGGGTACCCTCCACCTCTATGGCTTCTCTTAGAAGCTTGATGTTATTTCTCCTCTTTGGCTTCCGAGTCCCTGCATGCTCTGTCGTGCTCTCTGGTCGTGGAAACTGTGACCTGAGGCTGGGCTGGGGTAATGTGTTATCTCTGCTGGTTCTCTCCCTAGAACATAGCTCTGGATAAGGAGGGGCAGATTTTTTTTTTTTTTTTGGTAAAGACAGAATTTTACTTTATCCCCTCGGTAGAATGCCATGGCATCACACAGCTCACGGCAACCTCCAACTCTTGGGCTTAGGTGATTCTCTTGCCTCAGCCTCCCGAGTAGCTGGGGCTACAGGTGCCCACCACAACGCCTGGCTATTTTTTTGTTGCAGTTTGGCCAGGGCCGGGTTTGAACCTGCCACCCTCGGTATATGGAGCTGGCGCCCTACCCAATGGAGCCACAGGTGCCATCCCGGAGGGGCAGATTTTTTGAAGTAAGCATTGTCAAGACAGCCGCAGAGCTGGGACGGAGCAGGTCTCTCCAGTGTCTCCCGCCACTGAGGGGAGCAGCTGCTTTCGAAAGGAATGACCATCTAGTTCTTGGAAATGCTTAGAAGATGGGCAATAACAATCACAAAAGTGTACAGCTCACAGAGTATTCCCTCTGATCTCATTTGAGCTGCCTCACAACCCTGAGACATAGATACAAATATCTGCATTTAATAAATAAGGAAATGCAAAATAGTTAAAGAGCTTTTCCAACCTTGCTGGTGCTGCCTGGCAGGTGCCTTATAAGGAGGCCATCCTGTGGGTGGTCAGAGATACATTAGAAGAGACAAGTCTGTCATAAGGCCAGGTGGGATGACGGAGATTTTCTGCCACTGACAAAGGGGTACAAAATTGAGGAGGCTGATGAGTTATCAGAAGCAGGGGGGCCTTAAATGTCAAGGGTTCTGTGGCTATTAAGATCCAAGTCTAAATAGAAAGTCTAATCAAAGAAGGTCTCCAGAGGGAAGCTGAAATGTACTGCTTTGGTTAGTCTGGGCCCAGTGTGTGGGGGTGGGGGGACGTTAAGTGTCTATTTTAGGATTTAAAATGCAAATCCTTGAACTCAGAGACAGTCAAGCTGTGGAAAGGGCTTGCCACCAGCATTGAAAGGCAGGGGTGGGAGGGGTGTAGGGTATATTTGATACAGAGACCATCATCTTCCCCTGCCTTGCCCATCTCATTTTGGGCAGAGCTGGGCCTCACAGGCCTCCAGCATGGTCAGGATGGTTTCATCATAGGGGACCAAGTCTGGTGCAGTGCCAGAATTGGCTGGACACCTGTCAGTGCTGAGGTTGACGTTGGGCCTGGGGATTGTCTTTCAAATGATCCAAAGCTTCTTCCTGCCAGGTATAAGGAAATAACCAACCTTCCTCACCCTCCCCCCCAATTGTGGTTTTGGCAAGGAAAAATATTCCTGAACTCAAGACAGAGAAATAATTCACTTCATGTTTCTGGCATGTGATTGCTGAAGTCTTGGAATTCGCAGAAACATGGACAGTCTGTCTTCTAACCTTGCCAGAGAAGCCTGGCTGTTAGAAAGAAGACAGCCTGCCCAAAGCCAATCCATCCCTGTGTCATCAGGGAGAGGGCTGTGATTCCCTCCCTCTGAGTGATCTGCATTTCTGGTTCTAGAAGGAGCCAGGGCTGGGAGTGAGGCATCAGTGTGGCTCACAGTAGTTTTGGGTTTATAGTCCTGACTACAGAGGACCCAGGA